GTGTGCCCCGCCTTCAGACCGGAGCACACGCTCAGGCTTAAGCACACGCACAGCTCGAAGTTCCGGTTAGCAGGCGAACAGTCAGAATCACTAATCACTCTGAAAGCGGGATTATGTTGCAGACCATAGCAACCGGGCAGAGACAACTGTATGAACACGTTCCTGAAAGTTCAAAGCTGTGCACACGACACACCCCGCGAAAGAGAGCTGATGAAATCTCTCAATGTGGTCATGTCATCTCTCAGCTTGATGAGCTCATCCTCCTGGGGTCACAAAGTTACGGTTGTTTTGCCTCAGGCTTTGGGGTTGCGAGTTTTAGGGGGAGGGTTACGGGACTGTTGGTCGAGTTTCGCTGGTGGTGGGAGCCTAGACGAAGCACGGACACATACATCTACATGTCTTACGAGTCGTCGTCTGCAGAACTGCCTTTCTGACAGGAGCCTGACAACCATTCAAGCGGTGGAGAAGCCACATCTTTACTGTACACACCCTGTCGTGGCATTCAGTGAACGTCACGATGCCACAGTTGTCCGTGCTACTTTTAACCATGCTGAGCCTGACAAGACGGACAACAGTACAACTTCTCCTGCTCCATTGCGCCTTCTCCTACGATCCTCGTGGCGAGAATCAAAAACATGATCTTCATGACCATCATCATCATCATCGTGATCGCCATCTATCCAAAGATGTATGGAATATACTGTCATAGTCGTTCTGGGTATTGATGCGGCACCGCGGATGCTTAGACAGGCTTTCACCCACCTAACACATGCGAACACAAGGAGCAAGGCCTTATGTTTGCTGCGGTTTGAGTCTCAGGGGTCAATGCTTGCAAGTGATGGGCGAGTTGGCTTCACCTACCGATATATACCATTAAGCCAGTCCTAAAAGGCCTTGTAACTAAGCCGTAAAAACCCTGAATCACTGAACACTGATCCCAAGCGCCATCAAGCGTCCATGTATCTTTGGAATCGACCCTGGCTGCGGATCAGCCAAGTCTGNNTCTTGAATGAGCTTCCCCACATCCATAGCCTTGGCCTGAGCTCACCATACTATATAGGAATCCTAAGGTCAGGAAGACTGGGCGAACACATGCCAGATCTTGCAGGCAGCGGGACTTGCAGGCAAAGTGATGTAGGAAGTAGGATGCAGGTCACGCGACACCGGCCAGGAACAGGTCGAGCCAACGAACTCGATATAGAATCTAGAATGGGATCTCGTTTGCGCATAGGCTGAGCATCGAAAGCGATCATGCCGCCCTAGAACCAGAATGTGGTAGGGCTTCCCTTGCCTAAACCAAAGCCCCTAACCCTCGAAAAGCCCGGAAGCTCCAAAACCGTGAACCAGCGTGCCAGTCAGGGGACAGCTCCGCTAAATCTCAGGCAACCCAGGAAGAACTCCTGCAGGAAGTGGATATTGAATAGATGGCCATAGTCTGTAGCATAGACATGTTGTCGAAAGACTCTATGAACATACCATCATATTGGTATGTCATGGTATGCAGCATCACCTGAAAATCTATACACCACGTGATCCAAGAAGCACTACATCCCGTTGTGGGTGCACTGCCCGGCCAGCATTTCTCAAGATGCCC